GTCAAAAGTTAAGACAGAACTTAGGTTATATACTTTGCTCTAGAAATGGAAGCTGACGCATCTGGGTTTTTTGAGAGAGAAAATTTAAATGATGACTTTATGTCATTACACCGAGAATAATCTAGCTGAAGAAGTAAAACATATAGCACTGTTCCCAGAGGTAAGACTCTCTTCTGATGCAAGGCTTGTTCTTGCAAAGATATGCATATTTTCAGAAGTTCTGAGCACCTGACATCAGTTTGGTTAACTATCATTTTCTTCCACTCCTATTACTCCCCCTCTCTCTAAAAGACCTTAAAAAGATCGGAGTTTAAAATGATAACCAGATATTCTGTGTTCACTGAGGGCTTTGTTTAAGTAGAAAGGTGAATCCTCTCTAGCAGGGAGTAACCCTGTGATGAGACAGCATCTGTCAGTGTCTAGAGCTGCACAGCAGGACAGCTTGGCTATGCGAGGAATGCATATGCTTATCTCATGCACTTTTTATTTTTTTTTTTAAGTTGTAGTGACTGGTTTCATTAGCAAGTAATCATTCTGGAGAAAGGATCTTTTTGCCTATAAGCAGTGTGCTATACAGTGTTCAAAATTATGCAGGTCTGTCCCTAGGGCCTGTGATCTACACAAACACACACCAGAGGCTGACGGGTGAAGTGAGCCCCCACAGATTACGGAGTAGATCAGCAATGGCAGTGGGAACATAAAGCAGCCTTCCCAGCACCCAAACGGAGATGAGCTCCACTGGCACCATTTGGATTGCTCACAATCATTCAGTGATGAAAATCTGACCCTTTTAGTCTTTTCTTAATGAGTTCAACTCTGCTGGCGTTACAGTCCGACGAAAGAAAAGCCATTGATATTTTAAGCATTGCATCAATTAGATTTGCTCTAAGCAAGGTTACAGAAGAGAAAATACCAATAGTCTTTCTCCAGCAAAATTGTCTTTGTTCTTAACACCAGTGGAATTCGATTTGTGGCATCAACATCAAACATTTGTCAAAACAACTCACTACGCAGATCAATACTGCTTGTTTCCAATGTCATGTTTTCTACAACAGAAACACCCCCTCCATTAAAAGTTGGCTCAAGGCTATGCGTTTTTGTTATTAAAATGCAAAAAATTATTTTTATTAAACTAGATGTGACAAAATTCTGAACAAATTAAGCAGATATAAAGTAGTATTAAGCTTGTTGCTCCCACCTCTTTTTATTAGAGTTATTATCAGTAATACTTCACTTGTTCAAACAGTTGCTCCTCCATCCCTTTTTCAAAGTAACCTATGCATTGTTCAGCTCCCTGAATTCATCCCAAGGGTTCTATCACTCTTTACCTTGAAATTCTGCAGCTGTGCTGCTTTTGATGTTTCTAAAGAATTCATATAGAAAAATGATATGATTGCTTCTCTTGCAAGTTCTCTGCCTTTCAAGAATATACTCAGGGGAAAACAAACTCTTTTTTTACTTCCAGAAAGATCTAGAAATACTGTAATAACTTAAAACTCCATGTAATCTAATACAATGAGTAAGACTAAATTTTCAAGAGACATCATTTGTTATTTTATGCAGCATACAAACTAAGATTATTTTTCAACCAGCTAGTAAACTGTTCTATTCTGACAACATTATTAATCATGAGTCACCTTTCCCAAAGGAAGTTTTGTAATGCTTTAGCAACTGAGATGGATTACAGGATAATTTAGCAGATGACAAAAAGCTTTGCAGAATCTTCAGAAGCACGATTCACAAAAGTTTTTTGTTATAAATAAAACAAAGACCTTTCCCCAAAAAATCCTATGCAACTCAATTATGCAACTGTAGCCTTTCAGGTTCACTAACCCTAAAACGTAAAAATTCATCATGATACTGAGGACCACAGCCAAGGGAACACTGTATCATACAGCATGAACAAACGCTTGGCTCTGAGCTATCCAAACCCACTAGTTATTCAAAATACATTTTGGTGATTAGGTCATAAAGATTAAAAGAAAACATATGTCATTATATGGCAAATGTTAAACATGAAAAAAAAGCTTGAGCAACATTGTAATTGTGGAGAAGCATGAATGATTTGAGGCTAATCCCTTGTCTAGAGAAGAAAGGTAATATTTAAAGTTCAGATAAACCTCCATTAACATGTAACCAAGTATGTTCTTGAAGCTTTGTGCATTGATACTGTCTCCTAGGAAAAAAATTAAATAAGGAAATTATACCCTTCCACCATCATGTCGCCGAAGTGCAGTTACATGCACTTTTCATGTTCATCTCTCACGTGAAAAATTGCCTTGGGAAGACAGTGATCTAGTAACTATTCATATAATACACCTTCTCGATGAACCTAACAAGTCGCAGCTGTTTTAAAGATGTGTCTTTGTATCACATACCCTGTATTTCCATCAGGCGAGCAAAACATTTGCTTCTTCAGATGCCAGTAAAAAGCAAGTTAATTTTTGCAATGTTTTGTGGATTTATTTCAAAAACCCCAAGTTATTTATGAGGTGGTATCATTCAGAAATTATGCTAAATTGTTTGACAATACTTTTGAATACTGTTTACTGGATTCTGTTGCACAAGCACAGCAAACATGATAGTCCAGCAAGAGCTGTTTGTGCCTGTTTTTAATTACGGTTTTGATGACAGCGTTGGCATGGTTACTTCACAGTTTGGGAAGGGTCGATTTTCAATCACAACTGAATCCATGTTTGCCATTTAGAATCTGATCCAACCCCTAACTAGATGGGTAATATTATGGTTAACAGAATAATTATCATCATATATCCCACAGCATTGGTAAAAATAAGATGGTTCCAAAGCACTGCACATAGAACATTAAAGGCATGCAGACATAATATTCCAAAAAAGTAATGCATTTTAATACATAATTCTGTACAGTGTTGTATGCTACTGTAGGTACCCTATGTGTGCAGGGAATTAATTTGCTATATACATTTTCATAGCTGCAGAGCATCAAGGAATTTCTGTGTGATGTTTTCTCTCTACAGACCCAGTCCAAACCAAGTGCTGATTAACTTAATGAAAAGCTTAAGAGCTATTTCTTCCCTTTATGTGTAAATTCACTGGTGTTGGTATTGGCTCTTCTAAGACATTGCTTCAGACTCTTTTAATATCAAAGTTATTGTTCTTTAAGACTTCATCAAAACAAGATCCTGCTAATGAAACCACAATAGTTTTTGTATTACAATCCAGCAACTGTTGTATTCTTGGTGGGGGAAGTACTTACTTGTTCTCTGTATTTGTTAGGGGATCTGTACTGGACATCTTCTCAGGTGTGCTATTTTAATAAAAGTTCAAAATGAAGAATTCTGACACATGAAGTACTGGCTCGTAACCAGGATAATAACTGCTGCAAAAAAGGAGAAACCACTTTTTGAAAATGACATGATGATGTTTATTTTCAGACACCGACAATTCTCAATTACTGAGTAGCTCAAATCAAGTGGGAAAAGAAAACTTTCATTATGAAACAGACTTCATTGCTCAAAACAGTGAGGAGCTACCAACTCAGACTTCACTGTGTATTGCACTGAAACATCTGACATTCTAATTTCTTCTTAATTTCTGAGGTATTTCTAGGATAAAACTGAATCCCTCATGATTAAAATCTAAAAATTAAAGTAACTGAGATTACAGTTCCAGGCTAACTTAACTGCTGAAGACAAAAACAATCTAATTTTTTTTCCAGTGAAGGTTACGTGGGGACAGAATGTTGTTTTCAACATGATAAGGTGTTTTGCGTGTCTTGTTTTCTCACGTTTTTTTAAACAGTACCTAGTATTCAGCACCGATGGAATTTTCACGTGAAGTATGTAAGACGTAGGCCAAAACACATGCAAAATAGAGTTACGTAGCATTAATGTAGCAAAAAACCCAGTAATTCACACTGTATTTTTATTAGCACATGTGGCAGATCAACAAGAAACACAATCCTAAATGTGCTGAGCTACAATCGTTTGGAAAATTACTGCAAAAGCACTAACGCAAAACCAGTCGTTTGTATCAGCAGCAAGTCCTCCTGACCTCAGGAGCTGTATGGTTAAACCCTCACATGGCCATGAACCAGAAAAGATATTACTCCTAAGACACAGTACAAGGGGGACAAGAAACTCTTGGAAACACAAAGGCAAGAGATGGCCACAGGTGCTAGTGGTACCAGGGGCACCCTGCAAACCTGGACTAAATTAAAGTAGGTTCAGGTGCACAGTGTCAGCCTCCACAAAAATACACTGACCCATTCCTGCAGATCTGTATTTCTGCATTAAAAAAAAAAAAAAGTTAAATTCACTTGGGAACACCGCAAATTTTCCTGCAGTGAACGTTTTCAGATCCTAAAGGATCAATAAAAGCGCCATCTAAATAGAGAGGAAACACCACAATATTGCTTCACTCCGGGCTTTATCGTTCTCTTATTAAACACACAGAAACGGAAAATGTAACGGTATCGAGCTGGCGAAGTCCCAGCACGGCTCGGGTTACTGGAACCAGCACATGGGAGAAGCAGAGCTCTAGAGCAGTGAATTCATCCGCTGCTACAGCAAAGTTTGTCACAGTGCATGGGACCGGTCCTGTGAAAAAAGATCGCGGTTGGGAATTTTCCTGACCTTGCCTGTCCTGAAGTTATCGCTGTTCACAAACAGCGTTCCACCACTGCGCAGCACGGCAGCATTTGTGCCTAAACAAAAACACATCCTTACGCCGTACAGAGAAAGGAAACTACACGTGAACCAAAGCACCACTGGGGGGGAATAAAAAAAAAATAATTGGCGTCAGAGTCCACAAAGCAGGGAACCTGCAGGAAGACAAAGGGATGAAGCCTCCGCTCCGCCCGCAGCGGCACAACCCCGAGCCGAGGGGCCCGGGCACGAAGGCGCCTTCCCCCGCGCCCGGCCGGGCGCTCCCGCCCCACGGGAACCCGCCGGAGCGGTCCTCGCC